TTCTAATTCTCTCATGCATTATTGTTATTCCAATTCATTTATGTTTTGGATTTTAGATATTTTATTTCCTTCTTGGACTCTAAGTCCCTTAATATCTGTACTGAGTTGCGTTGCCCAAAAATTCATGTCTACCCAGAACCTGCAAGAGTGACCTTATTTGGAAAGAGGATTCTTGCAAATGTAATCAAGATAAGATCAGGTTGCACTGGATAAGGGTAGGTACTAAATGCAATGATGGGTGCCTGTGTAAGGAAGGGAAGATTTGGAGGCACAGAAACACACAGAGAAGAAGGCCCATGTGGTGAGATACAGGGAAAAGGGTCATGTGACAACAGAGGCACAGATTCAAATGATGCAGCTACAAGTAGAGAACACCAAGATCACAGAGAAGAGGCAAGGACACCTTCCCTCATAGCCTGCAGAGAGCGTGTGCCCCACTAACATCTTGATTTTGGACTTCTGGCCTCCACAACTGTTAAAATTCAGTTGTTTTAAGCTATCCTGTTTACACTAGTTGATACCTAAGCAATCTTCGGAAATTAGTACACTATCTAGCTGGTATCTCCCACGTGCGAAGCACAGTACGACAGTTTATCCAATAACGTCATTTTGCTCAACATCATTTCATTATAATGTTGAGGAGAGAGAAAATATCCCGGCCAACATTTTACAACACAAGTTATTCAAGGACCTTCTTTTGTTACAGTTATTGTACTTATCACAGATTCTTAAGACCTACCCATGATAATAAGTGAGGACTGACTGTACTTTGTTCACTTCAATCTGTGCAGAACAATGTGAGAAAATGAGGACAAATTTTGGACTAAATAGACCTGGAGGTTAATGATATAGCAAATGGGAGGGGAGGACAATAATGGTGGCTTCTATTTGTTGCAGCCCTTCTACTTGCCAATCCTCACAACTCTTCAAAACAGACAGCAGGAGGCCTGCTTCACCTGGTGCCACCTACCCAAGGTTGCCAGGCAGCAGAGTTCAGATTCCAACACTGGTCTGGCTGATGCCCAAATTTGCAGTCTCCCATCCATAGATGTTAACAATCTCATGAGGAGCTTTTGTTGCATTAACCTGAGGTTGTTAAGATCGGGCTTTTGAGGAAATTGCTTTTGCAGAATCTATAGGAGAAGGAAGAAAATGGTTCGTGCCAAACAGTGTGACATCCATGACTTTAGGACCCTCCAAGGAAGATTGAAAGAGCTATCATTATTTGTAGGAGAAATTAGTGTCTGTGAAACCAGCTCTGATCCCCAAGTTCTTAGCTTTGGATGCTACTGGTAGAATAAGTAACTTTTAACTCATTCTTTTGCCAATAGAAAGGAACACTTGGAATTTTCAAAACAGAAGATTCTACAAGGTTTCTCTACAGATATTGTAAGTCAGTAGCAATATGAATAAATTGTTATAACTAAACTACATGTGTTAATATCAAAGAGTTAGCACTACCAATAAGCAGAATGCTTGCCAAGATGTAACAACAAGGCCTGTAAAGAAAATCAGTGAAACAGAGGAGAAGGGGGAGAGGGAGGAAGATGATTAAGAATAGAATTTCTAGGGCCTCCCTGGTGGCGCAGCAGTTGAGTGCTGGGTTGCGAAGCTGCCTGCAGCCTCCACAGAGCCGGTTCGCTGCCAGGTAAGGGTCCCACATGGCGCACAGACCCCTCCTGCCGCCCGCTGCTCCCCTCAGCAGTGTACTTCATCTGTCTGCCTGTTCTGCTCCCTGCTCTGGCTCTGGTGAATTCTCTCACTCTCCCGCGCTTCTGACTGTACCCAGTGCTTGTATAAATAAATAATAAATAAATCTTTAAAAAAAAAAAGAATAGAACTTCTAAATTATAAGACTAGAAGAGTAGACCTATCATAAAAGTGTTATTAATCAAAAGGATACATTTCTGTTTTATAGGTAAAATCTAATACTGTGTACAAATTTTTTATTGTAAAAAGTGACACAAGCCTAAATCATAATAATGTGAATCAATAACTAATTAGCATTTATAAATGCAGCTATAGGGAAACATATTTCAATTTCATAGAAGGAAGCTAAGGAATTGATTAACAAAGCTAAAAGTGAGAAGAGCACACTCTTGACATGGTCAGAATGACTCCTTAGGCTCAAGGGGGAACTGCAAGTTCAAAGGCGGATCCGCAAATAGTACAATATAACCCGGTGCCACCACCCCAAACTAAATCAATAATTAGACAGGAAAAGAAAGAATACGACTTGAGGTGTTGGGTTACCATCTAGGTCATTGGGGAAATAGGTCATCATCTCAGTTTTTTTCTAGAATGTCCTGTTGAGATGAAAAAAGCTGGAGAAAAGGGGAGAAAGCAATTTTACTAGGAATCGCTCAATTGTAGAGTTTTAGAAAGAGGCAAGGGTGCATGAATCCAGTATAGTTGTGAAAGCTGACTTGAGAAGACAAATGACTTAAATGCTGGATGCTTTCCTTCCTTCAGATTTGGCATGTGTTGGCAGAAGTTTGAAATGAGATACTTAAAATGAAAAAAACAACTCACTTTACTCACTTTGCTATAGCATCCGGTATGTGCTGGTCTCCTGACGCAATTTTGTTATTCCTCAACACTTCCACTTAGCTGTTTGCTGAGGGCTGACAGGATTCGTTCCATCTCAATAAGATACAGCAGCCTCCTTACTCCCGTGTATCACCAGAGGAATTAAATGATCCTCTCAGGTATGAGCCAAGGATGGGGGAGAAGAGGAAAAGGAAAAGGAAGGGATTAAAATACTAACAAAGAAGTGGAAAAGGGAATGAATGAATGAAAAGAAAAAGCAGGAATTAAAAAGTAACCTATGAGAAAAAAGAGATGCTGGTGATACAAGGCAGCAAGGGGCAGTAAAACTGGCCAAGGACACTGCTCAAATAGTTTGCCAGTCACCCTCTGAGTCCTTCACCACACGGCCATTTAACTCACCCAGAGCAGTGTCCGGTACTTTAAATTCCTAAACACAAACATTCCCAAAATGGCATCTTCCCACTGCTGATGACAAGGAGCATGCGACAGCAGACTACAGGCTACGTTCCAACTCACGAAGACAGCAGAAGACACAACAGGAGATGCTCACTGGAGCTGCCAAGATGCCCCAGCACAGTACCAGAAAAGCAATACTCAAAGCAGCAGCTGCAGCAGCAGAATGACCCAACAAACCGTCGCACTCACACAGCTCAGCGAGATATCTGTATCCCGGGCTTCACCTTCCCTGCCAGGTTGTATCAGCTGCAAAACCCAGAACAGTTTCAGAAGCTCAACTACTTTCAAAGACTCCGAACTTTTCCTCTCTGAGGTTGGCTGCTGGAGGCCTCTCCAAATCCTTTGGAGGCTCACAACAGCCTTCTGGAAGATCAGTGTGGTGGGGGCAGGAATGGCTGACTCTGGAATCCCTGAAGAGCCAAAAATGCTGAAATACTGAAAGCTGAGTCCTACATGCTAGGGATGTTTCTGCAATCCCTTGCAATTTCTTATCAGAGTCTCCACATCCAAGGATACTTTGTTCGCATTTCCCTGGGGTATCCATCCTCACCAGCACCCCATTCCAGGGGGTGCCACCTATAACAGTCTTTGGCTTCAGCCACAAGTTACATTGGATCCTGTCATGTTAACCTCCTGGTCTGGCTGGGGACACCATTTACTGTCTCACTAGGTCTTGAGTTTTTCCCATCCCAAGACCTAGCAATTTAGCTCATTTTTGAGAGTTTGCACACTAGTTGCCTCTAAGTTAAAAATAATAATGGATATTCTATGTCCACTTTAGAAACCTTTCAATCCACTTCCCATCCAGACTGATTTCATTCTCAGGCTTCGTGTGATCCCCAGATCAGGTTCCTGAGCCTTTCCGCTCCCACAAGGCTCTTCATGGTCATATACAGCATGACCTACAAGCTTACCACACTCTCATTAGCTGGTTCCTCACTAGGTTGGAAAATCCTCAAGGACAGGAAGCGTGCCATAGTCACCAGAGTACCCAGTACAGTGCCTAGCACATCATTGGTGCTCAGTGAATAATGTGGGACAAGCAAACACACAAATCTATGTTATTTACTTTTAGAAATGAGAGCATCATATTTTAGGAGCCAGGGCAACAATAATTTGTTGTTACTCGCTACTACAAGATTTTGTGTCAATGTAGGAATTCTCCAGCTACTTACCAAAATAAATTTTCCCCCAAAACCAAGGCTCAGCATTTGGGATATGCACTGTAGTCATCTTTTGTACCAACCTATCTTAAATTTACTGGTAGTTTTAAAACAAAAGGTGTATTTTGGTTAATGATTGAGTTCCCCCATCATCTCTCTGCTGTTTAAAATTTATGATTTCTTCTTTGTAACATCTGCTATTTCTCTCCTGTCCTATCACAACCATGAAGAAACATGTACCTACAAGTGGCAAGTTCTTAAATTATAGCTTCCTGCACCTGACCGGGCTGCTCGTTTTCTCCCTCAAGTGAATAACCAACCTGGGTGAGGAAGCACTCCCATACAAGTTTCCATGAGGTCAAGTGTTCAGTCCACTGCTAATCCTTCTTCATTGTGGGAAGGTAGAAAATGCCCAGGGGTTCCTCTCCGTCAAATGGTTATTCTGTAGGACATTGCGAATTTGTGCAAAACATTGTAGTTTCTCCTGATATAAGCATAACAAACTTCTTTTTTGAGCGAGGAAGCCTCTATTTTCCTATCTCTCTACATTCTTGCATACAAACCTGATGCAAATGATTTTTTAAATTGCAAGGTTCATTAATTTAATTGAATCTATACTTAATTTTTAATTAAATCTGCATTTTTCAGTAACCTTTGGAAAGATGGAGCCACATTACCATATTGGGGAGGACAGGATCACAGAGCAAGACAGAGCAGACATAAAAGAGAGGCACAAAATCACAAGGCAGGTTTTCTTATAAATTTATTTCTGTACCAAAAAAATAACATTCAAAGGCAATGTTTTTATTGTACAGTATAAAATAACTTCCACTAAATTAAAAATGGGGTTTCATTTTTTGCTGATAAGCTGCTGATCATTTCTCCATTTAAAAAATTTATAATTTGCAGCTCTTGTAGAAAAAAACACCTGTTCAATAATTATAGAAATACTCTTGACAGATTTCAGTAGACCATTATGTATCTTTTTTGTCAATGTCAGCTTTCTAAAGTCAATTAGATTCTAAATTTGAAAGGCACCTGGTGGTCAACATCCTACTTACTATTCAAGGCATCTATTTTAATTTTTTTGCAAAGAACTTGACAAGTCTGAAAAATCTATTAAGTTAAAAGGAATGAAGAAATATAATACAGTTGGTATTAGCAAACAACATTTTTTTTCCTTAGCTGCAAGTTTTCCCCAGGGGATTTACAAAGTGCACCAGTTAAATATGTCTGTACATTTAAAACATTAAATATGTCTACAGCAAGACATTTTTAAATATTTTGAAACAAATACTATAGCACAAATATAATTTACAATACTTTGCACAGAAAACATTACACCTGAAATATAACTTTAGATATTATATAAAAATACATATATTTTCTCTCATTAGAAAAAGTATCTATTTGCAGGTTCCAGCATGATGTAACAATTCAAAAGAACTTAACCATCACACGATCATCCATTTGCAATTAGATGATGCCTTCTCCATTTCAGCGACACATAACCATGGGCCAGATCTAGAGAACTAAACCCTTCCCACAGCCCAAATGTAGTTTTCTGTGAAGGCAATCATAATTGCTCCAACCTGGTTTAATTCTAGGAATTCATTACAAAATTTAAAAACCATTGTGTAAGAAAGCCTTTAGACTTGTCACACAGCTTGAGTTCAACACCTCCTTTGGCTATGGATACACTTGCTCTCTACAGAGTCAAAAGCATGGATAGAGTCTCCATGAATTGTACCATGTGGGTCATAGCTCTTAGTAGTCTCACACACCTATATACATACATCCTTCTGGGTTGTTGTTTTTTTTTTTTTTTAAGTTTCCTGTACATGTTAGGAAATATGTGATAACACTCCAGAAAATGGAACTCAATCTATATCTCGAACTTTAAAAGCCCCAAAATAGGTTGCATCTTGATCTGGATCCAGTAGTGAAGGGTTGGATACCTCGATGCTTATTTCCTCACCAGACCGTAGCTTAAAAAATCCTCCAACATTTATGGAGTAAAAATGGAACTCAGAATTCCCTGACCAGTATTTGGTGCTTCCTCCTTTCATCAAGGTATGAGAACTGGGGATTTTGATGCTGGTCTTCGTGACATACACCATGAGTTGAAGATACTCTGTAGCTAGGTCTCCTGAAGTTTCATGATGTCGAAAGCAAATGTTGGCATACAGGTAATAAAAGCCATCTTGGTTGACAATTAGTTTTCCATTGCTGAAAGTCATGTTGGAGATCTTGGCCCAACCTCGATCATGGTACCAAGAAGACAGACTCACTTTATGGGTACCTAAAGAGAGGAGAAGCACATGGTTTTAAAAATCAACCCTTTTATGAGATGGACACCCCATAATTCTATGAGGTTGAAGAAAAATATAGCACAAGAGTCTGTCCCAACAGGAGAAATACATTAACATGTACTTAGTGCCCCTTTGAGATATCTGAGAGAATACAGGAATGAAATCTCATTTTTCCTGCCCAGAAGGAACCTGGAGTACACTATTCCACTAGGGAAAGGTGCAGGTAATTGCTGTGGGAATCCAAAAGAAGGAGATTGTTTCACCCCAGTAGAATCAGCAATGCCTTTGTTGAGTTGCCACTAAGTCTGAGAACTTAAGGGAGGAATAGCACTCACCAACAGAAGCACAGAGGTCATTCAGGTTTGAAGGAAGAGAAACAGCCAAAGACAACTGTGGAGCAAAAGCAAGAAACAAGAAGACAACCTCCAGACTCCACATGGCTCTATCTTCTCTAACTCATGGACAGGGGTAGAAAAAGACGGATTAAAACAACTTTGACCAAAGGGTCAAGCTCAAACTCTATTTTCATCATTATTTATCCCTGCTCTAAATACCTCAAATGCTTTTGAGATGTATACAACTGAAAAGCTGCCCCCAGGGAAGATCACAAAGAAAACTTTCTTGGCTTTGCACGCCTCAATTTCACAACTTCACATAATCCTTTGTGACCAAAGCATCATAAATTCTCCACTGACTGACCAAAATTCTCCTTTAACCTCTTCTCAGAGCTAAAATATGACAACTGATCCTCATGCTATTATTTGTGGAGTAATAAAAGTTTCTTTAAAATCTTCCATATCAATAATGTGTCCAACGCTTTCAATATTTCAGGTCTTTAGTCTGTTCTCTCATACCTTTAAAAGTTGGAAACCTCTCACTGATAAACCCAACTAATGAGCATTCACATTTATGTGGCCACCTATTGTCCAACTAGTAAAAGGTGTAAACTATTGGAGGGAAAATTATTATATTGTAGAAAGTCCACAAATACATTTTTTTCCTTCAGGAGATTTTACAAATACTTAAATGCTAAGTTAAAGCTAACATCTATTAGGATTTCAGCAAGGCAAAAGAGAGGAGTTTCAGACTGGCATTGGAATTCATTCCTATAGGTGGGGAGAAGCTCTTGGCTACCTGTCTCCAAAATAATCAGCCCACAAGACTTAGAATTGAAGTGGGTTCCAAAGATCCAGCCTAGGAAGTCCTTGGAAGATCACTGTAGAATTAGAAACCAACACTGGCTACCTTCCCAAACTGCCTGAATCCTGGGGAAGCTTGGACACTTCATCTCTCTCTGGAGAGGCACAAAAAGAAAAATGCTCTTCTGTCTCTGGAGGGCCACGGGTCAGCTGTGATAAAGTCCAAGAACCTAATAGGTTGTTCAAAGAGCCATCTAGGTGGCGGAGTAAGTGGAAAAAAAAATTTAGAAGGGGCCAGGCTATAGTGAAGCAACCTACCATTAGGCCAACCTGTGAAGGCCAAGAATGTAATGGTTCCAATTCCTCTGTCCAGGGACAGTGTATTTTCTGAACACCCCATTTGATCCACAGAGGGGCACTAGAGCAAGCCATCACTTGCACTGCCGCCTCCAGGACCCACCACAAACAACATGTCGTTGGAAGTCCTACCTCAGGCCACCCCAGATTAAATAAAGCATCCCAAATGCAAATATCATCTTGTGATATTGAGACCAGATGGGAGTACCTGCTATTCATCACACCCTCATGAATACTAGCAAAGTAATTCTTCCAGACTGGTAAACAAGTTACCTCACTGATTAACAAAGCTACCACAATTCAAGATGTTTCTTTTTTCTCTCCTTCTTACCCAATTCCTTCATTCAATTCTTTAGTCAGCCAATTATTTGTCATATAGCTTACCTTTAATGAGACTGCTAACATAAGGTACAGAATGACTAAGGTGAAGTCTACCTTCTCAATGGGACGGATCAGCTAGTGCTAGACCAAGGGCTCCGTGATAAAGCATGGAAAGGCAAGGAAGGAACAGGCAAGGGAGAAGATAGGAAACTTAACCCACTGTTAGGTGAAGTCAAGTGAAAGGAGTGTCCTTATTTCCTACTAAGCATATCTCCACTTCCGTCTATTCATTCATCTACTCTCTGATTCATTCAGCTGATCATTTGACAAATATCTGTGTGGTGCTTTCCATGTATATTCACTCTGCCCTCAACTAGGAATCATATCACAGCAGTGTACCCACACCGGTCTTAGCGTCATAAAAACAGGTTTATAAAATAAAAAGAAAAATAACATTTTATTTCTGCTTGTCATGTAGCATGGGATTGAAATTCAGATAAAGCGGCAGCCAAGTAAACACAGCAGAAATTCATGGAGATTGGGGGAGCTCAGCGTAGTGAGGGCACACAGGAGTCAATAGATGAGAACTTGGATCCAACGTGGGTGAGTTAGGAGAAGGTGAGTTAGGAGGGAAACAGTTCAAGCAGTGTGTGAACTTGCAGAGCTTGCAGAGGAGAAAGGCGGGGAAGTCAGCAGTGTCAACCAGAGGACAGAGGATTTCAAGTAGACAATAGCAGAAGAAGAGATGAGAAAAATACTCAGCAATCAGGTTGAAGGAGCTCACGTGACAAACCTGGGCTTCCAGGGCTAATGAGGCATGGGCAGCCCCTTACCCTTACCTCTCAGACCCTGTGCTCACTGCAACTGGATATGGGGGGAGAGGCCTTTCCAAATAGTTAGCTTAAAGAAAAACCACATATTCTGACCTCACCAAATATTCCTCAATGCATTTTATTCAAGAAGTTTTGGAAATGCAGAAGTTAACAGTCAGCATAAGGCATATTCTGACTTCTTAGGTGTAAATAAGTATAAAACAGAGGCCCCAAATGTACATGCAAAATGACAGCCCTCTTCCTCTGCAGTAACCAGTATTGGCCAAGACTGGGACATATGTGGACAAAATGAGTTGTTGGCCCAGCCAGAGGAGCAAATTCTATTTTCTTAAACAGAAGCACACGCAAACTCATTTCACACAGAATCTAACTCAATAACCAAAGGAGAATAACCAGGAGTTGTGCCTTGTTTTTTGGCAATGATTTGATGCTAGGTGCCTGAGGAGAGAGCTTTATAACTAAAACATGCTTGTTATTGCCAAATAGACTTTGGCACGCAGTCTAATGCAATATTTATCATATGGCATTTAAAATGAACTGAAAAGATAAATATGGAGTTCATTCATAGCACACACAACTGATACATCATATTAATTTGATTGCCTTTGCTAACGTGCAAAATAGATTTCCACTCAGAAAATTAGGGTGGCCCAACCATAAGGTACACATACACAAGGGGAAGAAATCTGTTTATGAAGCAGGCATCTGGAAGAGGATAGAAAAATCTAAAATCCAAAGGTTGGCTTCTCACTTCCTATGCTTTCAGTCAGGAAAAATACCTTGTTGGCCCACAGAATGATAGTGGCTTCAAAATCACATAGTATGACTTGGAACTTTTCAACGGTGAGAAAAACTTGCCTTAAATCATTTTTAGTACACAGTGAAATATGAATAATTATTTCATTAAACTCAAATAGTAATAACAAATTGCATTCACTGAGGGTCTACTTTCCACCTGCCCTACATAAGCACGCTCAGACATGGCCTCAGTAGTCTTGCGAGCCATCCCACAGGTGCTCTCACCATTCCCAGGAGGTGGCTGATGCATGAGTGATTTCAATAAAAACAGTGACTTGCACAAAGTCATCAGGGCAGTAAGCAGACAATCCTACACAGTCAGATTTTAAAACCCTGCTATTAAAATTACACCAATGTCCTTCTCATAGGAAAAGAGGAACAGATCTCTGAATTTATTGCCAACCAAGCCAATTGGCCATAGGTACTTACATAACTTACTGAAATATGAAAAGCACGAATATGGGAATCAATGAGAGCAGAATTCAGCTTCTAATTCTGCCACCATTGCAACCTGGGACAGATAACTTAGAGTATGTGACCCTCAGTTCCCCTGTCTGTCAAACGTGAAGATAACCATAACCTTGCAAGGATGTAGAGATTATAGACAGAGATAATGAATCCAGGATTAGAGATAATGAATCCAGAGCAAAATGCCTGAAATAATGGTGTATGTTCATACTTATAACAACAAGGTTCCCTTGAGTAACCAGTGGGTTTATATGATGGAGCAGCTGGTGCTTTAAGATAGATGTGGGCTGCAAGCTTTAAGTCTCCTCATTTCCTGTATGTCTCCAGCCTACTGAGCTCATTCTCACCTGGAGGACATGCTAAGCTCCCAGAGAAGGGAGGATAGGTCTCCATTTCTAGAGGGCTACTGCCGCCTATGTATACCTCTACTGAGAAACTACCTGGAGTGCTGCAGCAGTGGCTGAGTATCTGACTACCTGGATGGATTCACGCACCTCAGAGGCCAGCTGTGGGGATACGCAACTTTAGTTTGGTTAAAGACAGATGAGCATAACAAGGGATTGTCCTTCCCAGTTTTGTACCCCCAACTGGCAGTCATTTAAAATAAATATCCACTGGAAATCTGATGATGAATATACTTATGATGTCCCTCTAGCATGATTGAGCACCACTATTTCCACACTGTGGATCATCAACTGAAGAGGAAATGACCTTTGTTTTGGTCTAGAAGTAAGGGCTGTCAGAAATCTAGTAAGGAGGCTAATAATAGGTTTGAGGATTCAGCTGGGCTCATAAAGACTCCTGAAATTTTTTTCAGGCTGGATGTAAATGGAACTTACCTGATGGGATGTCAGTAGCATTAATAGTGAGATGAGCAAAGGGTTGCATATCAGGCTTGCCCCTCCCGGCTAGATCTAACCCTGATCCGTCCATCATCGCTGGAGATGAGAAAAAAGCACATTAGTCCAAAGAGTAGGGACACCACGGGACTGCTATTGTTCATGTTGATCCATGCTTACCTTTTTCTGCTCTGACATATTGTGATCTAACAATATGTTGCAATTCCTGAAATAAAAAGAAAAAAAGGATCTTAAGTATACACTCACTCTTTTAGTTAACTAGAAAGAATTCAGGACTGTTGAACATGTCATAAATTAATCTTCTTTCCTTCCAATAATGCTAGAAGTGCAGAAGCAGTGAAATTCCTTGACATTCTAGGTAGCTATCAAGGGAAGTTTTCACCCCCAAAAGAATTTTGTTAATGTGCTTAAAAATTATACTACCTATGTACCACCTGACAAAATACTCTGGGCCATAAGAGGAAATAAAAGATAATGTAAATTATGGAACATGGAATAACTATAACTGGACATAACTAAAAATTTGTAGCAGGTACACAAATGGAGATGAACTTAACTAGGAAACTAACAATTACAAGAGAATATATAACCCTCTTAAATCTTGGAGGAGACTCTTTTTTAAATCTGTTTCATTAGCAAATTCCTGTTGTAACACTAGAGCTCAGCCCATAGGAAACAGAATGATGCCTAGTTCCCAGTGGTTCATATTTTATTTTAAAAAGTCATAGTGTATTTAAAGTACTACATGGAAGTCTAAGAGCTTTTAGAGTACTCACAATCAACCTGAATCATTGCCACAAATAGAAGTTTAGAAGCACGAGCCAGAAAACGAAAAGGCACCAGGACATAAAGAGCATAAGTAGCCGCATATCTCAATTTGAGCCTGAGAATGAAGGATCAGAGAAGTAACCTCAGGCCCACGGGATCAAGACCTTAGCTGTCATTAACCGGTAAATCAAGGTGCACGAAATCTTAGGCTTTGACCTCAGTTCAAATCCCTGTTCAACTGCCTACATAAACTGAGGATATTAATAGCCACTTTATCTAAGGTAGTTGTGATGATTAAATGAGATAGTGCCTATAGGTGCTTGGCAGGGTGTCTGGTAAATTCAGATATCTGGACACAAGATAGCTGGAAAAAATTCTATTTCTGTTATTGGGATGCCCATCCATGCTGACAGTTCCCTCCCCCTACCACTCCCACCCCAACCTGTGATATTTGAAAGATAGGTCACAGGGCTTAAGTTCATTGAGTGTCTGGGGGAGAACTTTGTGATAGACAAATAGATGATAGATGAGGTATAGATGATAGATGAGATAGATGATAGATAGGCAGACAGGCAGACAGACAGACTGATAGACTGGGAGATCTAAAGCTCATTTTCCCTCTGCTCTGACCTCCCCCATCAACAGGGGGCAGGGAGGAGGGAAGAAGGAAGCAAATCTAAGTACACCTACATGTACCTACAAATGTCCATTTCATGCTTTTCTATACAAGCACACTTGTTATTGAGAAAAACACATCTTGCACTAGCTCAGCGCTTCTCAAACTTGAGCTTGCCTCACAATGTGCCGGAGGGTGTTTGGAAACACAGCCTTTGGGCCCATCTCCAGCCCTCCTGATTCAGTATATGTAGGAAAGAGCCTGAGAACTGGCATTTTTAAAAAAAAAAATTTTAAGCAATCTTATGGTAATTTTATTTTATTTTATTTTTAAAGAATTATTTATTTATACAAGAACAAAGGTACAGGCCAGATGTGCGGGAGGGTAAGAGGATTCACCAGAGACAGAGCGGGGAACAGAACAGGCAGACTGACGAAATACACTGCTGAGGGGAGCAGCGGGCGAGAGAGGAGAGGTCGGCCGTGCCATGTGGGTTTCTCCCCAGCCGGCCGGGATTGAACACACGCTGCAGAGGCTGCGGATGGCTTCACAGTGCTGCGCTCAACCACCTGTGCCACCAGGATCGAGAACTGACATTTCTAACAGGTGAGCTGGTAATGCTGGCCTTGGGCCTCAGTTTGAGAGGCTTCTGACATCCTTAAAATTTCAGAGATGGGCAAAACTGAGATTTTTCTCACAGCTTGAGATGCAGGCCCAAAAAACAGCAGATTCAGTCACTGATCAACTGGGCAGGAAAGTTTGTTCTCTCCCACCTGGGATTGAACTTCTGCCCATTTAATCAGTGGCTTCTAGGGCTGAGCTGTCACAAAATCTTTTCATTACAAGTAAATGCAATAACCAACAGCATTCAGAGGTACTTTCAATGAGTAGTATTAAAAAAAAAAAAAAAAAAGGCATCATGGCCCAGAATGAATTAAAACTCTAGCTAGAGAACCATGAGGTAATCTTGCTTTCATGTAACATTTGTGCGTGTGTAGCCAAGAATTGCAATTCCTCTCAGAAACCCTATAGGGACGTTTCCACATGAAAGAGGGAGTACATGGTAAGTCTACAAGCTCAGGCTACAAAATATATATATATATATATATATATATATATGTATATTTTTTTAAAGATTTATTTATACATACAAGAACTGAGGTAAAGGCCAGAGGTGGGGGGGGGTGAAAGGACTCACCAGAGACAGAATGGGGAACAGAACAGGCAGACTGACTGAAATACACTGCTGAGGGGAGCAGTAGGTGAGACAGGAGAGGTCTGCCACACCATGTGGGTAGCTCCCTGGCAGGTTGGGGATCGAACAGTGGATGCAGATAGCTTCACAGGTTGCATCTTAACCCCTTGTGCCACCAGGGAGGTCCCCAAAATACATATTTTAATATACCTGTTCTTGTATCCCCTAGCTCACCCCCAGTTCCTTGATCTCTAAGACCATTGTTATTTATGTGTATAGAAATAACCATAAATCTAAGATACTTCTGAGTTTATACTTTGCCCTGGCCTCAACTCCAGCCACTCCCACCCAATTAGTCTAATAGTAACTTAGCAGTTTTTAAAAGAAACTTCCCTAACTATTTCTAATGTATAGCAGGTTTTGAGAAACATTACTAATTGTTTCCATGAATGGTTGTTTGATGATGTCTCTACTTAGTCTTAGATTTATTATATATTCACCAGTTCCATAGATTCCACATATTGAAAATTAAATAATTGTGCATATTTGTAGCCAAAAAAGTATTTCCCCTTGTAGAATCATATTTGATTCTTGTTAGAATCAAAAGTTGAGTAACTCAACCTCATTTTCAGACTGGGAAGTGGTGTAGATAGAGACTAAAAGACTCACTTCATGAAGCTGGGTTTGAATCTATGCCTTTCGACTCCCAGAACTATCAGTTCATACCTCTTTACAAGTTATAGTCATCAAACATAATCTGATAGCTGGGCGAAGCACCAGAGGCCTGTGATAGGGTTCAGAACATGCTACCTCAAAATATGGTGCCTTGGCACATTGAATGTTTAAGCTGAAGGAATTGGAGAAACGGCAGGTGAAAGAAGGGCTCTAACCCCCTCCTTGCCATGAAGCAGGTCATAAGATCCTCAGATGAAAGAGGCCCTCTCCACATCCGGAGGGAAGGAGCATCCTGATCTCCAAGATGGAGGGGTGACAAGAGGAATGCAAAGGAGCAGGCCTTGCTATGTCACCCCCATGTACTGCCCCCATCTAGTGCAGACCTTTTTTGTCCTATCACATTTTCCCACTTTTCCCCTCTTTCTAGTATTAAAAAAAGGGTCAGGTTAACTGTTTGCAGATGGAGAACTTATGAGGATAGAGGGGGAAAGGATATTTCCCTTCCTTCACATGCCAAGAAACCCTTAGAGGGTGGTTTCCTCCCTGAAGCAGTAACTCTGACAGGAGTTTCACTTAGATTGGGGGTCTGACAAAAAAAAAAAAAACCCAAACACTCCGTACACAGGGAAATTTGCTCTCAGGAGCTCAGGGGCTTCAGAAAACAGTTGGCTTCAAACTGGTGAGGCCATGTTCAGGGTTGGGCTGATGACTACCCCCTCCCCCCTCCCTGACCCCTTGCTAGGCCTGGGCATAAAGGGGTTTCATGTCTCCAAATGAGACTCCATCAAGTCCAGGCCATAGAGCAGGAATCACTCCATCTTGTCATTTTTCTCAAGATCAGACACTATGTACTTCCCAAACATGGATCTTCCTTGAAGGTCCCTAAGTATTTTTCATGTTGAAGATTATAAGAAACCATTCTGAAGAAGTACCCAAACATCACCCCAACTGAAAATTCCATTATTTTCTAAGCTTTGCATTTACAGTGATCTTCATCCAAATTGGTCCTCTACTTCTGTCACATTAATTAGAGTGTTTCAAAATTTGCAGAGCTCTTTGTTCCAAATCTTATCATTTAGATGTGCTTTCTGGTTTCTTTAAGTTCAGAGAGGTCTAATCATCTAATTTTGGGGAAACACTACAAATAACATACCCATGTCTTCTCTCTGAGCATATTAATCAGATGAAAGAGATCTTTTTAAAAATGTTACATGTGTTTTATCTCATTTTAAATCCAACTGTGAGTTAATAATACAGTCAACTCTCTGTGATAAATATCGAATGCAATCATATGTTGACCACAGTGTTGCATAAAAAATGTAGATAGCTTTGACATACTACCCAGAAAACATCTCAGCAGAAGCCAGGCACAATGCAAGGTAAAGAAACTGAGTATATAGCCCTCTATACAATTGTTTCTTGGCTGAGAGCTGTTAAAGAGAAACCTATGTCCTTTTCCTCGGAGGATCAGAAATCTGCCTTCTATAAATACAGCATTTTTTGGCATCTGTTACATGTGAAGGACGAAAAGAATTGCCCCTGGTTTCCAAAAACTACCCATGACAACTAGGATCCGTTATAAGTTACCAAGAAAACTAACATGAATGAATGAACTTATCATAGTTACACTGTAATAAGTAGGCCTTTCAGCAAATTTTTATATTATTATATAAGTATGATTTGGGCCTAAATTATGCAGCTTCGTTTGACCCCTCAAACACAGAACAAAAAGAAAAATCTAACTACAGGCAGACAAAAAAAATCTCAGCCAATTAAAAGATATCCTCTGACATACTGCCACCTAGTGGCTGCTGTCCAACATTGACAGATCTGGGACACCACAGGCCAGATTTGATGTGGAGTCAGAATCTGGGCCCACTCCAGAGTCTAAAATCAAGAGATGAGGAAATTTCACAACATTTAGAAAATCTTCTCATTGTGGTATCCTCTT